GACGTTGAAGAAAGAGACGACGCCAATTTAGGTATTAAAAGAAACAAGTTTTATATAAATGTTCATTGTTAAAAAAAAACTGTACAAACCAACAATTTTTTCATATATACATATTGAGAGTTATTAGACAAAAATTTATATAAACTTAGACATTTCTTCATATCAATCCTAACACATATATACTTCAATATGTTTCTTTTTCTTTCAGAAATAGACAGCTTTGGAAAATGAACATCTTAGTTATCTCAATATGTATGATGAAGAACCAAACATTGACTACCAACCAACATTTAATGGATGATATAGATAACGACCGAAATTAGTAAAGAATTTTAACTTGATTAAAAAGCGTTCTTTCTCTTTCTATTTCCTATAAAATCTAATAGACCTTTTTGAAATCGGTATTCGGTGACTTTTCTTCTGTTTTATTGCCTTGAAAATGATATGATTTACATAAAAAGCAAAAACTGACGTATTATTTTTGTGAAATAAAAATATCCGAATCAAAATCTTGAAACTATTATTTGGGGACTTAAAAGAGTGGTCCACAAGTTGGTGTAGCCTTTTAAAACATTTAGTATAATAACAATTATATATCATCAATTACCACTTCCACTGGTAAAATCCTCAATTTAAAATAGTGTATTATAATAATAAGACATTAATCATATCTTAAATAGATCGCCTACTACCATGTTTTAGAAATAAATAAAATGTAATTCTAAAAGCAATAAAAATATTCAAAATAATTTAAGATTCCTTGCGTTATGTCAATAAACATTAAACAAAATTTCTCACGAATTATTTAGTATTCTGTCCTGTACTTCCATGTATCTATTAGCTTCGCTGTCAACAAGTTCTGACAAATTGCATATAAAAAATTTTCATTTTATTTTGTATCTTTTCTTCCCAAAAGCTGTCATTATGAGATATTTTCTCCACTTTTATTCCTACAGAAGTCCAAAAGCACAAAAGCACAAAATGCAAAAATCCATTTGTGTTATGTGCAGCTAGCCCTGAATTTGAAAATACCAATAGTGGTTCTTCTTAATGGTATTGTCCTTTTTCCAAAAAGTTATTTCTCTACTGCGTATTTCTTCTTCTACAGTCAGCACTTCAGCTCCATATGGACATTTTAACTCTAATCATAGTGTTTTTTTTTTTAATTCCATCCAGACTGGCAGCAACATAATCAAATTCAAATTCAATAAAATGTCCACATTTAAAAACTTTTACTTGCAAATAAATTTCCAAATCTTATTTTGCTCTGAATTTATGGTCCATGTCATATCGGGTGGCTTTAGAAATAAATAAAAGATTTTAGGAGATTTTTTACAAATTTCTCTAAATTTTAAAGCAATGTCTCTTTTCCGTCTTTTATTGTGCCACAATGTACAATCAGCTTGTCACAATCATTTTTTTCTCATTTATAGACATTGGCTAACTCTTTAGAAAATTTTCTCTTGCAGTACGCCTCAAAGGGTGAGACAGATCAAAGCCATGCGCGAAAGCAAGAAAAAATATTTACATTACATAACGGATTGAAGAGATATTAACATGCTGGAATTAATAATTATTGTTGACTTAAAGAGGTATTCATTAAACAGAAACATATTTATATTTCATATCTCAGTGTATATCTTCCAATTTCGGATATATATTTTTTAATAAATAAATGATAAAATTAATTTAATGTAATTGAGCGAAATTACTGTATGTAAAAAATAACATGAATTCAAATCACTTATGTACTGTTTATCACTAAATAGTAGAAAAAACGATATATATTTTGTTGGTGTCACCCTCTAGACGAAAAAGCTTTTAACGTATTTCTATTTTTATTGTTATAAAAATAAATGCTCCTGTAGGCAAAAATTAAATATTAAATTAAGCATTTCTTAACATTTCTATTTCTTTTCGTTTCCTTTCTTAGATTTTTTTTCAAAAGAGACTGATTCATATTTTTAAAGTGACTCCAGAGAGATATGGGCTAAGCCTTTACCTGTACTTACATAAAATTTCTTTTAGTAAAATTAAAAAATAATCCGTACAATTGGTCTACTATGAAACCCTTGCATATAATATATATATACCAATCTTAGTATTACAGAAATAAATTACGTAAAAAATAAGGTGTAAAATATGTAAAATTTATTCATCCCTCGTAAAATATCAGTAAAATATATTATAAATTGTTTTCATTCGCAAATATTAATTTCTTGAAAATCTAACGGAGGCGCCACTTTCCAGACGAAAAATCTTGCAATGTAAGGGTTTCGTAGTACCCCACTTTTAAAGTTTATTTTTGACTATTTTTAAAAGAAAAAATATGTGCGTGTAGGTAAAGGTTAAATCTATGCTCCTCTGGAACCACTTTTTCAAAATACAATTCAGTTTTTTCTAAAAAAAATTGAGAAAATGGGTAAAAATAGTCGAGCTTTGTATTTTTTTTAGAAAAATCAGTTTCAAATTTTAAAAAAGTGTCTCCGGAGGAGCATAGATTTATCCTTTACCTACACGCACATATTTTTTTCTTTCAGAATAAGTCAAAAATAAACTTTAAAAGTGGGGTACTACGAAACCCTTGCATGCTCCGCTTTACAGCCAAGTAAATACTCCTCTTAACATGAAACATGTGCACAGAACAGGTAATTAGGCAACAGTATTTACGAGAAAGTGTATGAAAAGTTGCCTAGTGTCGTATTCGTATATTCAAAATTTATTCCCAAAAAAATAGTTGTAATATTGTAGTATTTTCGACTGTAATTTATACTCGTTTTCTTCATTTTTAGTTCGAAAGAAAACGTAGAATTAATTCTTTTCCTATCAGTCAGTCTCAAAATTGCATTCCAGATACAGGACAATATAATCAGAATCAAAGGCACAAATATTTCAATTTGAACATTTATTGAAATTTTAGAGAACATCGTAAAATAATAATAATAATTTAAGCATATAAAACCTGTCAGTTTTTTGATGTCTACTATTTTCAATAGGTATTAGATATTCTTGTTACAAAACTAAAGGTTTGTAATTACTTTTCCCTTCTTTTACTGCAATTATAGATACGTTTATTTCTTTGATTTAATTTCTATTTTACTACTGAACAATTATAAAATATACTGTTTTTTGCTAGTATTTTTACAATTTACAACACATCAATTCCGGTTGCTCATTGTATTACTTTTAACTATTTTTTTTAATAAGTAAAATATATACCTATATTTGATAGCCAAAATTACAAAATATCGCCCTAAAATAAACTTTTTGTTATTATGTAAGAGTTTTACTGAAATTAACCAATAAGTCGTATCTAAAATTACTTTCTTAATATCTAAAATTTGTAATTCACATAGAGGATAACTCCCCCTGTAGGTATGTTGACTGTTGCTATCAGCTCTACATATTATATAACTGTTAATATTTTTTTCATTATTATATATATCTGAAGTTAAATGCTTCTGACAGGCAAACTATCAGTGGATTTTTATTAATAATAAAATGTTTAATTTCTTCAAAATGGGCAGTTAAACGTTGATAATTCATATACAATAAAAAAGTATCTAATCTACGATTATTTGTCCTATTTATTTTCTCCTAAAAAAGGACTTGTCATTTATTGTTATTAGTATTATTATTATTCAAGTTATCCTGAGGAAGCTGACTTAATGATTCTAATGCACTACATTTTTCTTCAATGTTAACAAATATCCACTTTGAAATTTTCACTTGCAATAATTTTTTTACAAATAATATTCTAACTCACTAATTTTCTTCTATTTTCTAAAATATTCACCATTGCTACTTTTCCTTGTAAATACTTTTTAGAACACATTAAAATTTTAACATTATAATCCATTGCATTTTACATGGAATAGTGGTGGATATTATATTTGTATTTATGCTGTTCATCCTATTATGTATAAATTTAACAGATGGATAACGCTTTTCTCTAAAGTTATTGGTCCCCGCAGTTATAATTGCATAATCGTTAAGAGTGAAATTACTTGTTAAAGCTACAATATCTTCCACCACTCCTTCTAAATGTGCCCCAGGTTTCCTGATAGTCTGTATATTATACCTTACATTTCCATTATAACAGCGCCTAAGTTCTTTATCTAGTCCTTTCCCACTTTCATCAGATAAAATAAGTATTCTCTTTTATTATATTTTTTACAATATTTATTTTTATTTAGAATTTCAGTATTGTTTATTGTACCAAGGTGGATAGTCATTCATGTACACCTTTTTAACCCTTAACTGGTCCGGCGTCGTCTGACAGACTACGTGATATAAACAATTATGTCTTATTGGTTATTGGGACCTCCTACAGGCAGGTCCTTACATCTAATCCTTTCCCTTTTGTAGCTCGACAGGTAGCCACGTTTGCAACAGGCTGGCGTCAGTTTCCTAAAAGCTGTGGCAGAAATTATTTCAAGGGTAGTGAACTTTGGCTCATGCTGGAAATCAAATGTTTTTTAAATTTGTATTTTATGTAAGTTTTTTTTTTACCTAACCCTTTGACAATTTATTATTGCAATTTGAAAGAATTTTTCTTTTTTTTCTTGTATTTTTTGTCTTTCATTTAAAAATATGTACTTTTTCAAAATTTCTGTGCGAGTTTTAGTTTTGGGTTTAATTTTATTTAGTTTTAAATATTTTTATTTTTACATATTATTATTATTATTAAGTAATGTTTTTAACATCTATGTCAAATAAAACATTTCATTTTTCCTATTTTATTTTTTTTGCCCTGCGAAAAGTAGTCCCACAGACTAAGTCCGACCAGTTACATTACTGGCAGAGTGCCGGACCAGTTAAGGGTTAATGCAGTGGAACAAACAAATGAAATAAGCGAAAACAAATGAATATTTATGTTGTTTATAGAGTTGCTATTACTACAAAAAAAATGTTAAGATAAGTTTAGGCAAATAAATACAAATATATTTAATGTTTAAATTAAAAATGTCACTTTTACAATAAAAAAGAAAAATTATGATTTAAAATTCTGCGAACATCTCCTGCATCATACTTTGATAAATATACATAAACTTAACTACGAATGATTCCAAATGGAAAATAGCCTTGTTCCCTTGTGCCATCCTATGTTCATGTCTAGCAGCTTCTTCAACAACTCTTGCACTAATACTGGCATCACATTTTTTTAACAATTCTCCCAACATTGTTTTAAATATAATATCAGAAGGTATATCATTTGTTAAGAGTTCATAAAGATCTTCTCTAACTTTTGATAATGTCTCAACACTTTGATTTTGCAAAATTTTATCAGCAGTTTTTTTAATAAAAACTTGCCAATCAGGTTCAGGCACTTTCTGATTATCTGTAAATGGATACTGTTCAACTTTACAGGCCTCACAAATCAATAGTGCCCTACGTAAATTGCGATTAGAGACTTCAGCAATTCGTTTGGCTAATTCAGAAGGTAATTTCAAATCTTCTTTCTTGCATGTATTTTGTAGAATCTCGATAATTGTTTCTTCTGTTGGAGCAGGAATTCTGATACATAAACAACGGGATCTGATGGCAGGTATTACTCTCGATACTGATGTTGCACACAATATTATACGGCAGTTTGAAATGTACTTCTCCATGGTTCTTCTTAAAGCATGCTGGGCATCTTTTGTGAGAGCATCTACGTCTGTAAGAACTATAACTTTAAAGTCTCTTGTAGCATTTGCGTTTAACTGTTGACTTTGGGCTACGTTTTTGATTATATCCATCACAACAACTCTATCATAAATCCCAACATCACTTGGATTAACTTCTATGTGATGACTGCTGTTAATGGTCATTATTTCTAATTTTTTATTTGAAGGAGTTATAAAATTCATTACTTCCATTTTTAATCTTTCTACACCTGGTCCGAACAGTTCTCTCAGTATACACATTATTCGAGTTTTTTTACCTGCTCCTAAGGGGCCATACATAAGTAAATGCGGAAAGTCTCCATCTTTAGTTAAGTTCTTTAAATTCGCAGCTTGCTCTTTGTAATAATCTAGATTTGAAAAGTCTTTAGGACGATATTTATCTGCCCACAACATTTTTACTAAAATTGAAAACTAATTCGATTTTTATTTGGAAAATTAGACGGTTTGGCGCCAATTCGCCAAATGCCAACCAAAACTCTTCTTTTTTTTCCAATAAATATGGCATCTGACATATTAGGTTATTTCGACAAACTTTTGATACTTGTAATTAGGCATTCCAAACTGAATGGCTACCAGTGGGTTCTGACGGGTTTATGATATGGCAAAATTATGGCAACCCTGCTGGGGGGCTATTTTCAAAGTATGGGAGCACTCATTTCTCTCAAGATTCTCATCAGAAATGTCATACGTCAATGTGGAAACGCTGTTTTTAAAGGCCTCGAGGATTAAAATTCTTAGGAGGATATTAATTATCTCTAAATAAACCGTGAGAAACAATCAGTGAGTTTACACTGGCCCTTAGGACCCTAAAAATACTGTTTTACGTTGACGTATGACATTTCTCTCGAGAGAAATGAATTCTCTCGACTTTGAAAATAGCCCCCTGTAGGCCTGGTGATTTGACAAGGTCAATGAAATAGATAGTTACATAGATTGATCATCCATATTTTTCAAAATAAACATAAGCTCATGCCTTGAAGTAAAAATATAAGCAATTATTTTTTTTTTAATATCTAAAGGCTGTATGTCACGATGCTAAATTTAGTACTAAATTTAGTACTAAATTAATGCATTTTTTAAGTTCTAAAAAAATTCACGTTGCAAACAGCAAATTTAGTACTAAATTTAGCACTAAAAAAATAAATTCATTTTTTCTATTTTCTACTAAATTTAGTACTAAAAATGCGTCGAAATGTTGCGCAGTAGCTTTGGTTTATAAAAAAGTTGACAGTTGACACAACTGTCGAACTGTCTCTGTACCATTTTGTTTTTGGTTAGCGTTAGCGACATTTGGCATTGCGTGTGATTTTGTACAACTAAATAATAACAACTTAATAATAATAATAATAATAATAATAAAACAGTACACGAAATAAATAAAAAATATACGAAATAAATAATAGCTTAATAAAATCACAATAATCTATTTTGAATCTGTCAAATGCCACAAATGTTTAACGGCTTCAACGCTGTCAAGTCAACAGTCATTGCGTTCGGTCTGCCAAGTTCCTTTAACTCCTTTAACACTTTTAACTCCAAACGACCCTTTTAGCGTTCGGTTTAGTACGATTAGTGACAATTTAACTCGCTTAAATGTCATTTAAAAGCAGCCTAAAATTTAGTACTAAATTTAGCATCGTGACATACAGCCTTAAAGGCTAAAAATTGGTTTTAAAACACATTTTTGCTAAACCGATTCAAATTAATAAATATTTGCCAGGCAATATGGCCGCTCGTAAACGAACAGCTTTGAGCAATCTATATAACTATATATGTATCACTGACCCTGTTAATGACAACATGACAACAGGGTTGCCATATCTAAACTGTCATTACCCACTGGTAGCCATTTGGACAGGTCGTTGGAATGCCTAATAGTTGTAATTGATTACAAAAAAGGCAGCTAGGGCGCCTAGGGCAGCTATATCAAGCTAGCGGGCACTCTGTGGCGGCACCATTCAAGACCTGGCGGGTTTTTTGTAGCTTTTTTATTACACTATTTGCGAATTTGTAGCTTAGCCCAGGGGTCGATTCTCGACTCGTAGGAATATTTTCCTATAGGAATTTTTGACATTTTTATATACATCGAAAATTTATGACATTTTCCTACATATAGGAAAGTGTCACAAATTCCTATAGGAAAAGGTTCCTACAAGTCAAGAATCGACCCCCAGCCCCAGGTCCGAAAAAAAAGCGGATCCGCTATCTTGAATTTCCATAGTAGCGGCACAGATTTAGACCCAGCTGGTTTTTCATAACATTTTTGTAGCTTTTTTGTTACGCCTGTCTCGATTTCGTTGCGAGGCCTGAGCGTGAGTAATAATCGTTCCTCCATGAGCGTGAGAGAAATGTGCGTTAATTTAAAAATTAAATCAATTTTCGGCCTCTACAAGTAATAGGTGCAACTCGATAGTGTGACTATCTGTTGATAGATGGCACTAGTATTGCATTTCACGAAATATGGTCATCTTCCATCCAATATATTTTTGAGAAATTTTAATATAATCTCAAAATCGGACATTTGTTTTTAAATGTTTTTTATTGTTGTTTGTGTATTTATACTTTTGTTGAATCAAGAATATTCTTACATCTCTTCTGAATGATTTCTTTAACCAATCGTTTGGCAGTATTTATAGACCAGTGTTTAATCATTGTTTAGTTCTTTATACAATGACTACACATTGAAAAACCGGCCCAAAGTTTATTAATATTTATTTTTTGTTCTAGATAAAACTCTTCAACCTCTGTGTGGACAATGACTTAACTTTCCAGCTAATTAATACGCTACATTTAATTATTCTATTTGTATGTTTTTTTGTTTTAATAAATTCATTTTGTTTATTATGCTTTTTTTAATTTTTTGTACTATTAAATAATAAAATATTTAAACTTGTAGTCAAGTTAGGATTGGTTCATACTACTTATTTTTTGCTTTATTGTGAAATATAATTTTATTGCTACAATAATGTAGAAAAGTTAGTATGAACATTTTAAACTAAATATTGAATGACAATTTTGAGAGTTCCTGCGTTTTGTATTAACTAAAGTGACTGCGAGATGGCGCCACATCATTCCAAATAGTTGAAAGAACGGTCACCCGGCCTTAGATAATACCGGCAGTCTCGAAAGAGTAAGTGTTCTGTGGTCTCGAATTTTAATATTGTTGTTTCCATTCTAAAAAGCTATATCAAGCTAGCGGGCACTCTGTGGCGGCACCATACAAGACCTGGTGGGTTTTTTGTAGCCTTTTTGTAGCTTTTTTGTTACGCTATTTGCGAATTTGTAGCTTTGCCCAGGTCCGAAAAAACAGCGGATCCGCTAGCTTGAATTTCCATAAATTCCATAGTAGCGGCACAGATTCAGACCCAGCTGGTTTTTCGTAACTTTTTTGTAGCTTTTTTGTTACGCTAGTCTCCCTTTTGTAGCTTGTACTGAACCTGAGAAAAGCGCGGATCCGCTAGCTTAGCGAATATTTTTAGCGGCACCAGCTCGAACCAGGCTCATTTTGTGTAACTTTTTTGTAGCTTTTTTGTTACGCCTGTCTCCATTTCGTTGCGAGGCCTAAACGTGAGTAATAATCGTTTCTCCATGAGCGTGAGAGAAAAGTGCGTTAATTAAAATCAAGTTTCAGCCTCTACAAGTAATATGTGCAACTCGATAGTGTGATTATCTGTTGATAGATGGCACCAGAATTGCATTTCACGAATTATGGCCATCTTCCATCCAATATATTTTTGAGAAATTTAAATATAATCTCAAAATCGGACATATTCAACGGTATGTACGTTGTATGAAGATATATATTTATACAATGGTATGTATATTAATTATTTGTTCGATATTAATGTAAAATACATATTGACAAGATTATTAAAATAATTGTATGCCGGACGCCACTATTTTCCCGATCGGGTGTTTTCGGTTATTTTTACTGCTAAAAACTTACTGCTAACTTCACACCGGTGGTAATAGCTGCCAAGCAATTACCTATTCTCACTATATACATGGTGTTCCATCTCAGACGAGCCACCCCGTATAGTAGTATCCCGTAGTAATGGGCCATGTTCACATGTGAGATATGCTGTTTTATAAATTATATTGTAATAGTTAGTCGCTATACAAGTTATTCTAAATAATCAGTTCGTTAAAAAAGCCAAAAGTTTTTAAATTAAGCCCAATTGAAATTTAAAATTTGAAATGTAGACGTCATCGGGAATAGACCAATCAGCTTGTGTCGAAGTTTTTTTTTGTTATACAAAACCTAGCCAACGAACAAACCGACACACAGAAGGCGAGTTCGGTTAGTCAGGGGCAGGAGCGGGACAAAAGCGGAGTTATTTAGGGTACTTTTAAATGACATTTAAGCGTCTTAAACTGTCACTAATTGGACTAAGCCACATACTTTTAGAGAGGTCTGACATGCCCAACATAGGGCGCGGCCATTTTGACTCTTTTACTACTATATTAGGCAACACATATTTATCCAAAATGTTAAACTGGTAGCCTACCTCTTGATATTTTGAGATTTCAAGTGAAGGTAACAAATGTACTAGAAAAAACGTTTATTTATTTTAAATAATATACAAGAAACTTCTTTAAAGTAAAGTTGTAATTTCGAGTACATTTTGAAATAGAGGTGAGTAATTATTATCCTTCCTCCATGGAGGTGAGTGGTTTTAAATTATTTCTAAAGCTGTGCATATGATTTTACCTTAATATTATGATATTTTTCGCCATTTTATTTTTGTAATATAATAAAAATATTTGAGGCTAAACAATCTAATATTACCTATATTTTGCATTTTTTCAGCTGTAAATATGATAAACTATAAAGTAATAACAAAGAAATGTAAGAAAATAGAAGTTCTAAAAGATATTACCAGAGGAATAAGTATACTCTTGCAGGCAAATTGCAACAATTTATATAAAAAGGACACTTTTATTTATACCCTCTAGAAGTTCAAGCAAAGAAATTGTGAAAATTCAGGAAAGGAAATCGAATGTAAAAAAATCAAAATATGGTAGTAAAGAAGAACTTTTGGTTGAGTATCTACAAATCACTATGGTTTAAACTATGCTCAAGTGATATCTTTAGGATACAAGCTATGCCAAATATATAATATACACGCAGGATGTTCTAACTCTACTTTTGAGAGCTTTCTCAGAATAAGGCAACGTGAGCTATTTTAGGATGTAGCAGATATAGCATTCAGCTTATGTTGACTATGTTGAACTGGTTGAATATGGGACAGTTTCTATGTGCAGGCAATGATGACCTTTATTTTTTAAATAGTAATTAATGTATTGAATTGTCAACTTACTCCTATTTCTTACATACATCAGTACCATACAAGAGCTGCGAATTCTATTAATTTTTGTGTTATAACAAGAAGGAAGGCAGAGTTTAAATTAATCAATTATCTCATGATATAAACTCCCTTTAAAAAGCTAAATTATTTTAACAGTAATTAGTTAAAACTTTCAGCTAAGTCCTCTTGTTTGTTTGTTATTTTGTCATCGCTTATTTATTTATTATGTATTTATTTTCAAATACTCTCTACTTTTGTACATTTATGTAGGTATTTTCATATTTTTTGTATGAATTAAATATAATCTAATGATCCATATATGAATAGTTTTTTTTATGTTTCTAAAAAGGTTTTTAATCTTCGTGATGTAGGTATACAGAACACAGTGAGATGATGCAGTCCCTATATAGTTATATTATTTAAATGTTTATATATAATTGACAAATAAACATTATTATTAGATAGCTACTTTATTTTGAAAAGTAAATATTTTGAGTTTATTACCAAATTAAGCATTAAGTAATATTTTTGTTTTTTTTTTTTACTTGAAAATAGGGGGTTGCTGGTTCAAGCCTCAAATATACGTCAAAAGATGTCCCCCCAAAGAAAATCATCCGACGTGTTTCGGGAAATTTTTCCAATTACTATGGGATAAGAAATATACGGGGTGGCTCGTCTGAGATGGAACACACTGTATAGTTGTGATCCGACATAATTAAACACTGGTCCATAAATACTGCAAAATGATTGGTTATGGAAATCATTCAAAAAAGATGTAAGAATATTCTTGATTCAACAAAAGTATAAATACATAAACAACACTAAAAAACATAAAAACAAATGTCCGATTTTGAGATTATATCAATGAAGTGGAGAGGGTAGAATGATAACTGTCAATGAAAAAATCTGGACACTATGCACAATTTCGTTTTGCCCATTTTGTAAACAAAGTTCAAGGACGGTTTAACAACGTTTTGTGCAACAATTATAAAATAGTGCATCGAAAAATAATTAACAAGTATAATTTAATACTAAATCTGAATAAATAAGCATAAAAAATCATAAATATAAGCAAGATAACAAAGAATTGACGCCAAAAAATCTTACAACAGCCAAAACACAAACAAAAAACAGAGCTGAACATGAACATAATCGCTGAATCTCAGAGTAAGTAAGTAGTAAAGAGAGGACAGTAAACAATGTTTGTGTCGCCATGATAATATGGTCGAGAATTCTAATTAGAGAGAAATAGGTTAATATCTCTATCTCTTTGTTTGTATTTGTCAGTTTTACAAAGCTTTTCTCAGACAATTATTCCAGTGTTTAATTTAAATTTGTTCGTGTTGTGGTGTTAAAAGTAATTGTTATTAATATTATATTCATAACAAAAAAGTCATATCTTGTTTTCACTTCATTAAAAATGCACCTACCTACCTTTTAAAACATTTTATTTTATATTCTACTTAGTCAACATTTTCGCATTTAAAATGACCCAGCGAAATTGTTTTACGGTACGCTACTGCTGAGAATTCTAAAACGAGTGAGAAAGCATTAATTAGAAAGAGAGATACTGATTATTTGATAGCGACAACTTTATGCAGTGGTGGCCTATCTGCTATTATAATATCTAAGCGCTGAATAAAGTCGATCCTGGAATTTGTTTACAGTGCTTTAGGGCAACCTCTCCTTGTCATTTACGTGTGTAAGAGTGGAAGGCTGAATCACGCATAATTTCTACACTCGTGATGGATGCGCAGACGGTACCTTATCGTTCTACCCTCTCTACTTCTTTGGATTATATCTAAATTTCTCAAAAATATATTGGATGGAAGATGGCCATAATTCGTGAAATGCAATTCTGGTGCCATCTATCAACAGATAGTTACACTATCGAGTTGCACATATTACTTGTAGAGGCTGAAACTTTTTAATTAACGCACTTTTCTCTCACGCTCATGGAGAAACGATTATTACTCACGTTTAGGCCTCGCAACGAAATGGAGACAGGCGTAACAAAAAAGCTACAAAAAAGTTACACAAAATGAGCCTGGTCCGAGCTGGTGCCGCTAAAAATATTCGCTAATCTAGCGGATCCGCGCTTTTCTCAGGTTCAGAACAAGCTACAAACGGGAGACTAACGTAACAAAAAAGCTACAAAAAAGTTACGAAAAACCAGCTGGGTCTGAATCTGTGCCGCTACTATGGAATTTATGGAAATTCAAGCTAGCGGATCCGCTGTTTTTTCGGACCTGGGCAAAGCTACAAATTCGCAAATAGCGTAACAAAAAAGCTACAAAAAAGCTACAAAAAACCCACCAGGTCTTGTATGGTGCCGCCACAGAGTGCCCGCTAGCTTGATAGAGCCATTCTAAAAGAGTTTTTCTAAGGAACGTCTAAATGCTGACCAAATGGAAAAACGGTGTTGCCAGATTTTCGACGAAGAAATGTCATCTGTCAACGCATCTTTTAGTAATTAGGCGCGCATTTTTAAATATCCTATGAATCTTGTGAGTTAATCATTTTATTTATTTCAATTAGTATTCTTAATTTGGATATTTGTTAGTTATAGTTATACTTTTGAGTCAAATGTGTTATATGTTTGATCATCATATTCAGATATATAGGATGTTTCAATGAAAACGAACCCAAGAAAAACATTTTTTTTTAACACGAGTTTGTTTTCTGACAAAATTATTAATATCCAGCCCAGTTTTAACGATCTGTAATAAGTAGTCAGTCACCTCTTTTTTTAATATTATGCATGGGGTGCCGTCTAGTGATACATACTACATGTACAATTTCAAAAGTTTTAATTATATCTATCCATGTGCAAATCTTTCAAATGATACAGGTATTGACTCCCGATACCATTAGTTAATTTAAGGTCTCCCTTGAACGACACTCATTAACTATCTTATGAGAAGGAAAATACAATTAAATTACGACTAATTAAAAAAATAGTAGGTATATACCCTTTTTAGATCATGTTGAGACTTAAAATATTTATTAGGTCAAAATGGATACCCTCTGGGGGCGATTTTCAGAAAACTAGATGGCGCATTTGCTTTACAGGTGAGAGGAAAATCCTGAAAACTCTCATCGCCATCATTAGTATAAAAATTACATAAAGTAGAATTATAATTTCAATAAAGTATTATTACTTTATAGAAATACGTCTTCGTAGAGAATATTTGCTTTTCTATTTTTTTATTTACTGGACCATTAGTGTTGCAGAACCAAATTTGATTAAACTTTTTAAATTTTTAATTATGCACTTGTGTTCTTTTATTTGGCGTGTAAATGTAACGTCCTTAAATTGATTTGTGTGTCTTGTATTTCTTTATTATTTTTGATGAATTTTTTAATGAATATTGTTGGGAAATATTTACTAATTATTGGTTTCATTAATTCCTGTTAAATAATCATTTTTATTAAGTAAGCCCACAGAATGTATATGTTTACAAATATTGGTTTTAATTGAAAAATCAATGCAAGAACACTGAACACATATACAACAAAAGTTACAAACCAACACACAACAAACACCTTTAAATTTAGTGACAATATGAACTAAATTATTTTGCCTTTTGGAAACTTTCATACTTTTATTGTCAATTTTTTTAACAATACATGCAAGCCCTATGTCTACTGATTATTTGCATTAAGTGGTCATTATTTTTCCATTTGTTAATTTTATAATTCGATCTATGACTTTATCTGGTAAATATTTTAATGAATTGCTTTATCCAAACGTTATTTTCTTTCCTTCTAAATAAATATATTTTACTACTTTGTGCATGCTTTCTAAATGCATGTTAGTATTAATTTCTGAACCTTTACGGTAACAATACGCCCACATAAATCTATTTTCAAAATACTTCCTTTCCAAGTAGTCCTACTACAATACATATTTTTAGTATCTCCCTCATTAATTAATATATATTAAATATTTGCATATCTGTTTTAAATATTTTGTCACTTAAAATTTAAACAAGTTTGAAGGTGTTTTAATGTTTTATAGACCCATTGCCTTTTATCTGAACTTTTTACTTTTGCCATATTCTGCTGCAATGCTTCATCAGTGTGCCATGAGCAATATAGTTATTAACTAAACCTATAGTTTTAGTGCTTGCATTGAAATACACACTGGTTACATCAGACAAGTTCATTTGTTCAATACCTTTTTTAACACAAGAGAAAAACCTCTATTAGAAAATAAAAACGCCACTGGAAACCCTGCTCCATATTAATTCATCTAATACTAAAATAGTTGTTAATTAGAAGTCATAAGCGTTCAAACTATTTAATCATTTCCATCTGTGTTACATTTAAAAATAAATACCAAGCAAAATTCATTATTTACATTCACTTTACATCTAAAATTAAATTCAAAACATACATGCTTCTCTAACCATACTTTTAAAAGTGACCGGATGTCAGTTACGTTATGTACTCATAAAAAACTAGACGTGAAAAGGTGAGAAGAAGACTGATACAACTGGCAACACCGTTTTTCCATTTGGTCAGCATTTAGACTCTCCTGTTTTTCTATGTCTAAAAGAAAAGTGATCTGTGGTGGTGTTTAATTTTTAATCGTAAATCTTAACCTATAATAAAAAAAAATTACATCGAAAAATCAAAAATAGTTCGATTAAGCCGAAAAGGGAATTTATAAAATGAATAAAGTTAAGGGTGAAAATAATGTTCAACATAATCAAGAAAATATTAAAAAGTTAAAGAGTAATTTATCGTTTTGGTCCCCCTTAAACGATAATTTTAATCCCCCAGACAAAAAATCGACTTGCACTTGGCATAAAAATGTTGATAGACTGACAACTCCTCATACCACAAAAGACTGGTGAGTACCTACTGGTGAAATATACTTTGGTTTATAATTTTAACTCAAGTAATTATTGGCGATAAAAATATAAATCAAGACAAGAGAGAAGACCCTGCTTCAAATATATTAAAAATGGGCTTGCATCAATGTTTCAGAAATTTGATACAATTTAAAACCTAAACAGAAATACATGTTTTTATTTAAGTTTGATGTCCACTTTGTTATTGTTAGTGGAACACCATATTATATTTTTCAATTCTTTGGCAGTTTTGGATCAAATGTACATACTATTCCAATATTTAACCATTTACAAAAGAAAATATTTTTGTTCATGTGAATTATTTTTTTTCAAAACATGTTTGAATCTACAGGATACACCAGAATATATAAAACTCATGAAAAACAATTATTTTACTTGTAATAACCCTATAAGTATAGCTGTTCCTAGCTTTGTTTAAAAACAATGTTGTTTATAATACCAATACAATTAAAACTTGCTATTAGACACATTTTACACCTAAAAAAATGGAGATTTTGCACATACGTAAAAATGCTTTTACTTACCATAAAAGGATTTGGCGGATCTACTAGAAATTAAGTGATTGTAACATAAATTGGTATGAGTAATATGTGACCATAGTAGAAATTTTTTGTGATAATGGAATAAAAAAATCCCTCCACCCTACTGTATACCTAATAAAACAAGGATAATAATGTAGGTACCTACAAATTTTCATAATGATATTATAGTCCTTTTTGAGAAACATTACCTACAGGCTTATTGCTTAAACTTATAATTTAGCTATTAATGAGAGAAATTCAAATAAATGTTCTTTTGAGGATTTATTTAATGAATCCTTAGTAATTTTGATTGATGTAAATTTTGTTGTATTAATAAAATCAATAAAAAAGATTTTACAAAATTCATAATGAAAATGTTAACAAAGTAACTCGACCTTTTAATACACCAAAAATAAACTTTCAAATTGAAAATAGCTTCTTAAAAAATTTAATTATTTTTTCTATGTTAAAATTCTACAACTATGATCTGTACTACAAGAATAATGAATGTATAATGATGTTAAAAATGAAAAAACTAGATAAAATGCATAAAGTCCTAATCAGCGGTTTCCTAGAAACTGGTAACTCTGATAACGCCGACAGCTGCAGGATCTGTTACTAGGGCTGATATAATTCACCTAACAATAAAAAATGTATTAAAAAATACTAGCTGGGACAGGAAAGTATGTCTGTTATTAAATATATTATACTTTTGCCTCCCTGTGTGCATTTATAATGTATTAAATATGATAATAAATATAAATTTAGTTTCTTTAGTACCTACATGTGAGTCATATCAGCCCTTCTGATGACCTTGCAGGAATTTCAGCGCAAACTGCCATCCTTGCAGTTTGCTTAGCTGGAGGTCCCTGGGCGAAGTGCATGGAAGCCCGCGTCATACATATCTACCATTTTTATGGTATAGACATATATTGTACATAAAATATTTTTTGTAACTTAACAATTCATAAAATTTGTTTTTAAAAACGGATTTCGGCTTTTTAAGTAGTTAATTTGTGTTATTAATGAATATCCATATGAAAATTGGTGGAGGTAGTATTTTTTCCTGCCATTATTTTTTATGATTTCTCCGTTATTTTAGGAGAAGGACTTCGAAGACTCTCCCCAATGCTTTGGCTGCAATTGGAAATACTCCCCTCATTAAATTGAACAAAATCCCACAAGCAGAAGGACTAAAATGTGATGTCTGTAAGTAATATTATCTATGACTAGTTTATAAAATACTTAAAGTATTATTCAGCAAATAACCAGTCTAATTTTAGCATAGGTATGACTATGAACCTATTTTAGAGCGAACCGAATAGGTACCTTGAAAATTTCAAATTCCTTCAGAGCCATTATTTTTAATCCGATTTTTGTGAATTTTTTAAAAAATAGCAATAATAAAACTTTTTTTGTAAACCTTCAAAAATATTATTTATTTTTGAAAGAGATAAAAAACATTTAAGCGCCCTTCTGTATTAAATTTATGAACATTGCTTCTTTTTGTTTTAATAAATATCCAGTGGTTTTTAAATGGAAGGGGTATTCCACGTTTTTTTCTTAAATGTCTCTGTATAGTGATACCTTATCGTTGCACAAATTTAAAGCTCTCAGTATTCTCGAGACATATGAGGTCTTGTAGTGCTTCGTACTACATATTACTCTTCTCTCTGTCATAATTACGTTGATAGATAAATGTTATAACCTTAAACCAGTCATCTCCACTTTGTCATTTCGACGTTTTATTTTTGTTATGTGAATGGCACTTTAGAATGTTTCGTGGTGGCATGAGACTCAATCCTGTTTCCTGCCAATGTCATAGAACTTCAAAGTTGATGACATTGGAAGTCACATCTGTTTTTGATTTGTGGTGTAGTAGGTGGAAAAACAATGGAGTGTGTGGTGGACAGCTGTGAAAAAAAAAAAAGAAAGAACAGAACAGCAAGAGACAAGAAACTATCAACAAATTATTTTTTTTTTTTTTAAAGAGGGGAAGTATTGTAGTGCTTCGTACTACATATTACTCTTCTCTCTGTCATAATTACGTTGATAGATAAATGTTATAACCTTAAACCAGTCATCTCCACTTTGTCATTTCGACGTTTTATTTTTGTTATGTGAATGGCACTTTAGAATGTTTCGTGGTGGCATGAGACTCAATCCTGTTTCCTGCCAATGTCATAGAACTTCAAAGTTGATGACATTGGAAGTCACATCTGTTTTTGATTTGTGGTGTAGTAGGTGGAAAAACAATGGAGTGTGTGGTGGACAGCTGTGAAAAAAAAAAAAAGAAAGAACAGAACAGCAAGAGACAAGAAACTATCAACAAATTATTTTTTTTTTTTTTAAAGAGGGGAAGTATTGTAGTGCTTCGTACTACATATTACTCTTCTCTCTGTCATAATTACGTTGATAGATAAATGTTATAACCTTAAACCAGTCATCTCCACTTTGTCATTTCGACGTTTTATTTTTGTTATGTGAATGGCACTTTAGAATGTTTCGTGGTGGCATCTTTCCTGCCAATGTCATAGAACTTCAAAGTTGATGACATTGGAAGTCACATCTGTTTTTGATTTGTGGTGTAGTAGGTGGAAAAACAATGGAGTGTGTGGTGGACAGCTGTGGAAAAAAAAAAGAAAGAACAGAACAGCAAGAGACAAGAAACTATCAACAAATTATTTTATTTTTCTATTTTTTCGAAGTTACGTGTTCTTGGCCTTTTAATAAAAGAATTTTAAAAGAGAATTTTTAATTATATAGTTATTTTGGTTACAGAGAATACCTATAGGTCTGTAAATTAAGTAATGAGACTGGCAACGTTGCGTTTGATCTGGCAACACTGGAAGCGCGGGGCTTAGTGGGGCGGCAGAGGAACATGTGATCCACCTTCAGTACGAGTTTGACCTCGCTCGAGTCATTTGGTTGTACGTAGCGATTGTTTTTGTGAAACAGTTTTTTCTATTGTGTTCTAAAAATGAATGACATCAATTTCGAGCAACGGTGTGCTATCAGGTTTTGCTTCAGACTTGGGCACAGTGCAACGGAAACTCTTCTGAAACTTCAGCAGGCCTACGGAGATAGTGTTTTGTCAAGGGCCCAGGTTTTTCGGTGGTTTAAGGCATTTTCAGAAGGAAGAGAGTCGATTGAAGATGAACCACGAAGCGGAAGGCCTTCATCTTCAAGAACCGATGAAAATGTCCACAAAGAGTTTGTACCCCAAGGTCAAACGGTCAATCAACACTTTTACCGAGAGGTTCTTGAAAGACTTCGAAAAAGGGTCATTCGTGTGAGACAAAACATCAAGAACAAGTGGGTGTTGCATCACGATAATGCTCCTTGTCACACAGCAATTTCAATAAACGAGTTTTGGCCAGTAAAAACATTCCTGTGGCTCCTCGGCCTCCTTATTCGCCTGACTTGAGTCCTTGTGACTTTTTTCTCTTTCCAAAGTTGAAAAGTCACCTCAAGGGAAATCATTTTGGGACAGTCGAAAAAATTCAAACGGCTGTAACTGACCAGCTGAAGGTTATTTCAGTATCGGAGTTCCAGCACTGCTATGAGGAGTGGAAGAAACGTCTCCAGCGCTGTGTGGCCTCAGAAGGAAGTTATTTTGAAGGTGACAATATTGAATTGTAATTCTTTTTGTATAAAAATTTTTAAAAAAATCAGTCTCATTACTTAATTTACAGACCTCGTATCATGAAGTATTCTCAGTGGCGCATATAATAGTATATTATGCAACGATCATGTAATGATGGTTATTAATACACGAGCATTAACCGGGATACGAAACGAGCCAAAGGCGAGTTTCGTATGGTTTATGCGAGTGTTTTAATAACCATTACATGAGAGTTGCATACGCTATTTTTTCTACACCCGATAAATAATCAAGACCTATAAATATTCTATTTATATTGGTATTGAACACAATAACAGTAATTACTCGTATTTCTATAAAAAATTCTACAAAATTGTAATTAATGGTATTACCTTGGGTACTGGTATTACCACAGATTTTTGGGGCAAAATATTTTGTACTGCATTTTCTCCTTTCTCCTATATGTGTGGAGGAGTGTTCTATATCGCTGATATCAGACATTTTAATATTATAATTATCGAAGTTTAGCTATCTACGAAAATTTAATACGTTTTGACAACTAAAACAATTACATAGGAATTTAGGACAAACGTCAAACATCATGCTTGATTGAAAAATTGTAGGTTTCTATTGATTAAAAATCTGTATCATAATGAAAAATCTGTATCATAATGGGTATCATTATGAAACGGATTATGGGCATATAAGTGCATTATTATAATACGGGTGTAGAAAAATACAATTTTATATTAGAAAATCCTCACAACATTTTTGCTTTTCGCGAGAGGTCCGGTTTGCTCTCAACCCAATAAGGAAAAATATCTTCACAAGGGAAACACCTCTATTTCAAATGGGTTAAAAAATAAGTTTTTAATTAATATTTAGTTCTTATATCTACATTAGGACAATTTAAAAACTTACTTACAATGGCTTTATCTCATGAACTAAAGCTACTCCCGGACTACAAATATTTAAAAACATTTAATTCAGATAAACATGCCACCTTCGCATTAAATAGATTTTTAATTATGTTCTATTGAATCACTTTGTAGTTATTATTACATACCTTCAAAATATGCTTTTTAACCTTCCACACTTATCATAGAAAAAAATCCTCAAGTGTGTGTGTTTTGTCTAATGGTGTTGATCTTAGATCATTTGGCTAAAATTAATGTTGTTGAGAAACTATTTACAAACTTAAAATATAATATATAAATTTGCATCTCCTTTACAATTGAACATTAGTTGAAACAATTGTGTTACTTTCAATTGTAAAATAAAAACGCAAAGCCATCTGTCATAATAATACGAGCGAAAACAACTCCTTTGGTTAATACCGCAACGTGCATTGAATTACATTAAAAAAAAAAAACAGAGACGGAAAAAATATTTTCAACATTCTAACTTTGATTTAGCTTACTTAGGAGAAAGTCATTCTTGGACCAGTTTTGTTTTATTAAGGTTCGCCACAAAAAAATATACATTCTTGATTCCAGTCTCTAATGGAATCTGCAGATATATTAAACCATGGTATAAAAAATAAAAGGTAGGATATCAACAGTGTCAAAAACAGGACGACCAAGCGCATGACGTCACGCATAGAGTTTGTATAGGCGCAAATTTAAAAATACTGATGAAGTGTCAGGAAATTATATGCTATTTACAGAAATTTCATGAATATTTAAGGAAAATATTTTAGAAATTACGTGAAATATCTAAGGATATTATTATGGGACAGTTAAGGAAAGAACTATGAAGAAAATAAATGCAAATGCACACATAGAAGAAATATTTATTTTAAGTAACAGATTCCTTTTAATGTTTTCTATAATCAGGTATCTTCGCAACTTGGTAACTTTTCAACTGAAGACCCTGGGTTAAAATTTTGCATCTGGGGATGCCAGAAATTTTTACCTGATTAGTATTCCCAATTGGTGACTCATTTGGCTGCATTATATTAGCCAATTATATATACTTTACTACTTTTTTTTTATAAAAAAGATGGGATTTGTGTACAAATAAGATGATAACAAAAATAGGTTTTAAAAAAATATTTTTGATTCTTATAATATAATGCATAAAAATGATGTTCCAAATAAAAATAACTGCTACATGTTAGGTGCATATACAAAATTAAAATAAAATGCCACTGTATTTCTCCTGGACATAGTCATTGACAGTTTTTTAATTCATTTACAATTTCTTCTTTACTTATATTGCAAAATTTTCATCCTTCAAAGAGTAAAGTCCCGAGTTGCGATTGAACCAATATGAAGTTCTGCTTTGGGGTGCCTCTTAAAATTATTGGTGGAAGTTTGAAAGTGCTTGGAATATACATGAAAATTTTCTGTTTTAAATTTATCTGCACGGTCACGAGCCATTGCAAGGGCGGCTTCATGTCGAATTTTCGTGGGAAGGGAGGTAACATTGCCTATAACAATTTCCTTTTTAGCATATTTTTTTTAAATAAAAGGCTTATGGATTGTAAGAATTTTAATCTAGGAGAAAGCAGGGCCATCTGAAGCCGCATTTCGGCCACTGCTCAGTTCTGACTAAGCTCTTACTGTCGAGGAAAGCGAAAAAACATAATGTCCTTTTTGAATCC